GTCAATCTAAGGTTATTAAAACTTTTCTCCTTTTATTTCTAACTCTTCCACTATGTGGCTGTAAAGAAAATTTTAATAGAATATTTTGACATATAACTGCCTTATCTTCAGTAAATTAGATCCTTGACAAATCAATTACTTAGAGTTCTGTGACAGCTCCGTTGTATTTCTTTTTTTTTCATTTAGTGTAAGTGCTTTGCTAATATTTGGAAGGACATGAAAATAGGGTATTTTTAGAATTTTGTGACAAAATTGCAAAGAATGGACATTTTGGAAAAAATGTAATACTTAATTTGTAACATTCCTTGCAATATAAAATGATTTGCAAAATGTATTATATATAATTTGCTTATATAGATACATTTTGCTGTATAAAATTTAAAGATGTTAATTATGCTATAGATATCTTGTTGAAGTTACTTTTTCATTTTTAATAGTAATGTTATATTTATTATAATTAAAAATTATAAAAGAGAAAAGGTACATAAAAGGAAAAAATAGAAACATAATAGAAAAATAATATAGTAAAGAAAATGAATATATATATGTAAAGAAATTACTTCCCCATTCATTATAATGAATATAAACAATTTTGGTAACTTATCTTGTCATAAAAGACAACAATGATCTTTTATTCCCATATCTAAGCTCTTACCTATAAACAAATCCTTAAAACATTGCTGTTTCAGGCCTGATCAGCAAAAGTCCATTAATGTACTAGAAATAACATATCTATTTTTAACCTTGATCAGATGAACCACCCTGCTTCCTTTTACTTGTAACAATCTTGAATTTTAATCCCTTCAAATAATGTCATAGAACTTGATTTCTTTTTATTTTTTCTTTGTCTTTTCTCACAATATTCTTCAAAGGGTTAACAAGTCTGTTTTGTATCTCCAATATAGAAAAATTACCCAAGTCGCTCTCATGACTTATTTCTACATCCCTTTTAATTATTAAGACATGAGCCTCTTTCTTTTGTATGTCAAGTGTAGCATCTACAATTCTAATAGCTTGTCATTTTAAATCCACTTTCAAATCAGTCTCATTCTTGTATAGTAAAACTTGTTCCTCTTCCATAACATCTTGTAAATATAGTCTTATCTATAAAAGCAGATGCTGTTAAAATTAATGTCTGGGTCCATTGTTAAAAATTAACCTTCAATATGTCAAATGTTAAAATATTTTTCTCCATTCTGTATTAGTAAGTAAAATTTAAATGTTCTTTAATTGTAATCTTTAGTTCTTTCTATATAGTGTCCTACCTTCAAAGTCCCATCTTATCATGTTTTTAAGTATTTATGAATTCAAAACAAAATTATATTCCCATAAGGATTCTTGTAATTAATTCCAATGTCTCATTTCAAATCCATCTGGAGCCTTATTTGTAACATTCCCAAATCAAAGTTCTAATCGTCCTTTTGATGTTTATGCTTCGCCCTCCCAATAATTTTTTAAAATCCTTAAATTTATGTTTAGAACTTCTTTTGCTAAGGGTTGAAGAAAATTTACTTGGTGTTTTCAGACTTGTCTGTTTAATGGTTCCTAAAATTGCTGAAATTGCTGAAAAGCAATTAACAAGCAATTTCTGGAAGTAGAAAGAAGGAAGCTTGAGCAAGATGTTGGTTGGTTTAACCATTTAGTCATGTCTGATTCTTGGTGACTTTATAGGCAAGTGCTCTCCATGCTACCCTGTCAAGCACAGCTTCTTTCAATTGTTGGATGTTCAACTTTGTATCAGATTTGATGTTATTAAGCCAGTGTATTTATTGCTTGCCCCTTCTTTTTGTTCCATTAACCATTCCCAACATTCATTAGTTTGAGCAAGATGACTATTCCCTTGTTTCCCAGAATTGTAAACCTGATGGTCACTGCTGCCTTGGTGTCTTCATGAGGAGCAACTCTCTGGAGCACTTGGGGGTGATGTGAAATCCTCTCCTCGTCCAGAGAAGAATTACAAAGGATATTTCATTTAATCACGGCTGTTTGCTTCACCTTAGTTCAGTGCACCATATCCCAGAAGCCATATTATCAAAGTTACTTTATACAAATTATAATTTTTGTTATAGACCTATAAAAAATCTTAATTTTAATGAATACAGTATAGCCTGCATAAGGAATTGCCTCCTCTTCAACTACCCTCACCCACTATCGCTTTTTCATCTCTTCTCTGTTGGCCGCCAAGTATCCTGCCTTGCAGTGTGGCAATCATCCCCAAAACTGAATGGCCCTGGGGCCATTTGGCACGCTGCAGCTCAAGGTTCTTGGCACACCATTGTGGCTCAAGGTTCTTGGCACGCCATCGCTCTGCAAGAAGTCCTGAGCTGCAGCTCAGTGCATAGCTTCCACCCCAAGGAAGTCCTAGCAGTGTGCAAGACTCTCACTCAGTAATTTGGTATAAAGCTGCCATCCCAGGAAGCCCCAGTCGCCCCAGCTCGTCCTCTCTTGCTGCCCTGCACTGGAAAAAACCTTCCATCCTGCACTCTGGCACACAGTTCACCTGACTTTGCTCAGTTGATTCTTGCTCCTGCTGACAAGGTATACATTTCCTGATCCTTCACAAGACAGTTGCTGGCTGACACATGAGGCCATGAAACCACAGTGTGTGACATGAGGAAGACCCATTAGAAGTGGGAGCAAGAATATAGTGAAGGGCAGCAGGGGTTGCAGAGTGCAGGGAGTCAGAAAGGTATAGATGGGAGATAGGCAGATAGGGGGAGTTGTACTCCTGGAGTGGTAAGTGGGCTGCCAAGCACCCAATTTTTGATCACATGACTGTGGAACCATGCAATAACTTCAGGGACAAGTTGAATGTCCATTCACCTCTGCCCTAACTTCAAACATATTACTGCAAAGAGAACATTACATTTCTAGGAAAAAGCAGTAGATGGGAATCAAAGCTCAGGGTACACATTTTGCTACATGACATTGTGTCTGAATTTGCAGTTCTAATATTAGTTTCTTGTTCTATGATATTTTCTTTTTATTCTTTCCATGGAGTTATAAAATGAGTTTTCTCTGCATAAAGATGTGGTTGTTAGATGTGGTTGTCATTTTTTTTTAATTGCTCTCATCTAAATACAGAAAGCTGTGAGGGCATTCTTTTTTCACATGTTTTACATAATTAAAACTATCAGGATATATCTCATCATCCTTGATTTTTCCCACCCCGATGTTTGTGAGAAAGCAATCCTATAAAAAGCAAAACTTTTCTCCCTGAATTTTATTGAGTTCATATTCTTTAGATAAGCATGTTTTTGGGTGAGAGTATTTAGTAAAACAATTTAGTAAGATCTTTGCAAGTAAAGCATTTTTCCACTTAAAAATTGAAATGCTTTTTTAATAAGTTTTCACAGGTATCTTAAATCTACAAGGGCTAACATCTTTATCCTTTTGTTTTTTATTGTTTCTCTTCAAAAATTAAAATTATAAAGGAGTCGTACTATTTTTTTTTTCCTGCTGCGTTGATTCCTGGAAAAGGTGTAAGTTACAATGAAGAATCATATCTCTGATGATTACTGAGGTTGTTTTCTTCTAATATTAAAGGCAGAACATTTCTAGTATTAGTAACTTTATTATCTTCCCTCATTAAATGAAGAAGTTTTGTTTGAAAATTAAGCAACAAAGTTCCTTTTGTTTTACCTAGACTGCTTTATTTTAAACTAGTCATTAAACCAAGGAATAATCTACAAAAAGTCTGTTATGTGTCAGAAAATATTTAACCATACTTTCTTTCAACAAGCAGAAAAAAATAGAACATACTTTTGCTAAAGTATCACTAAACTTTGTTTCTGTAAACTGAGAGTTTCTATGGGATTTTTTTTCATTTAGTGATTTTCATATTTTCTCATTATTTTCCCTGATTTATTGGTTTATTAAAGTTTTATTTTGTAAGATTGTCCTTTGATTTTAGAGTGTGATTTTTCAACATAATTTCCTCTTTTACATTTAGAAATAATGTGTACCTATTTATTTATTTATTTATTTATTTATTTATTTTATTTCTTTGGATTTAGGGATGGAAGGGATATTTCTGTTCTAAATTGCAGTAAATCTTTGGAATCTTATTCAGATTAATCATATTGTAACATTAATGAAGTTCTAAAACATCATTTAGCTCCAGTGTAATAATAATTTAACTGTAACTTTAGATCTTTCTTAATATGTTTATAAAATTAAGTATAAGTATATTTTTACAACTTTTGTAAAAATCCATATTATAGAAGCTAATCAGTTTACTTCTGTAGATATTTTAATTTTCTAGGTTTATTCTTTGCTATTGGACAAAACTAAAATGATTTGTCGTAAAGCAGATTTAATTAAAAAAGCACTAAAATATTATTCCAAAGAACTAGGAAAATTTAAACCTAGGCCATCTTACACTAAATTAATTAATCTTAATTAATATGCATATTGGCTTTCCTATTTGGTGCTTTATTTTACTTTTATTCTTATATAGTTTTCTTAGACTTGCAGAAGAAGTGGATATAAATTCATAAATGATCTAAAATAACAATTTAATTTAAAATAAACACATTTAAGTGTATATTTTAATACATTTTATATATTACTGTTGAAGCCCTCACAGCTTCTATGATACATGTTATGCATTTATTCAATTGTAAATCATAGGTTACTGATTCAATTTAAAACTCTTTAAAATGTAATAGAACAGTAGCATAAAATATTTCAGATGTAGTACAGTACAATAATGGAAGTTTCCCTATAATTTTTTAAATGTCTTCTTTATGTACACATAAGACAGCATATTTTGACTTCAGAAACCTAAAGTTTCTTCCCAACTATTTGTTTCAAATTGAAAATAACTGTTACATTGAAATTTGATCTTCTAAATCAATGTGATAATTTTGTCAGGTGTAAGATTTTTCAGTGAATCTTGGCTGAATAGGATTTTTTTTCTGGTTCCCTCACACACCAACTTCCATCTGGTCAACAGTTGATAATTTGCAACTTGTTTGAAATATAGAAGTCCAGAAGCAAAGTCCAGGCAATGGTTAAGAAATTTGAATTTGTGCCAGAGCCATAGAGAGTGCCAGAGCTATTAAATGTTTAGTGAAATATTTTTGTGGAACACTATATGTCTTCCTTTTGCATAGACTATCTGCAGAGGGATAGTAACTACCTTTAGTTTTGTAATGAGATTAAAAAATTTTAGATGTGAATGGTTGGATTCAGAGAGTAAGAATTCTGTTTACAGAAAGCTCATTCTGCTGAAGGGATCTTTGCCAGTGTTTTATGCTTTCTACAGCCTGCAGCTCCCCAAAGACCCTGGAGCTAACATGCAGCTGTGGGTCACTTTATGAAAATTCTTTCTATTGAACCTTTGTCTAAGTCCAATCCTGATGTTGAAAACATTTTTTTTTAATCTGTATAGTTACCAGTTGCTAGACAGTTTAAGTGTATTAAGTGTGTATATGGATAAGAATTGCTGTTTGCTTATTTCTTGCTTATGGGTTATCCATAGTTACCTGATTTATTTCAAAGGGAACAGAGGGTTGTCTCAAATAATAGGAATATCCCAAAAATGCTTTCCTATAGTGAATTAGAACACCTGTGTTGAGAAAGTAAAAGAAAACGGGAATCTGTCCACAGAATCTTCGATGTTGCACAGAATACTGGATTTGTTATGCCTTGCATCTAATCCAAATTGATGTTTATCAAAAGAAACTTAGAAAGAGAAAGAAAGATAAATTTCTGTTGATTGAACGAAAAAGTAAAATGTCTTTCAAATTAAACTTGATCCCCAGTGAACTCTCAGTACATTTTCATGTTGTTTTCTTGGCAGTAATATGAAAATAGTTTGCCATTGTTATCTTGATGTTTTATTGACTTCTCTATGGTTCCAGGATTTCCTGGTGATTTTCCACGTCCTAGCCAAATCCAGCTCTGGTTGAGATCAGAATTGACCAATTCTGGTCAATATCATAGGAATCCTATAGCCACCTGCTATAGGATTCCTATGATATATATGTGTGTAACATCTATACTTAGAGTCATTCTAAAGTAAATTGAAAACCTAATTCTGTGAATTTGATTGTCCCTGATTCCTAGGAACTTTGCCAAAAATATTGAAATGAGTTGCATCTTTAAATTCAGTCTGGCAGCCATTTTCAGATACTTCTGCAGTTTTCATTAACCTAGTAAAGTCACCTGGGTATTGGGCACTTTCAAGGAGATTTGCTTCTTAAGTATGCTTGATATCAAGCTGTGTGTTAATAAAAGTTGTATTTATGCAGGGTGAAAGTGTAAATTCAATTTTGTATTCTAATAACTTAGAATGGACCTGTAGATAATAAAATATGCTATCTTCAGCCTATGTTAGACTAAGAGCTCGGTATTAGTTGATCAAAGAAGCTTTCCTAATGATTAAAAATGCAATCCCTATTGTTTATTCTGATACAAGTTCTTGTAATTACTCATAGGTAAATTGATTGATTTATATTTATTGAAAATTATCTGGCACCCATTCAAAGGATCTCGGAACAAGTTGATAAATTAGTTAAATTAATCCTAATTAAACTGATAGAGGCACTTTTAAGAAATAATGTGTATTTTTAATATCTTGGAGTGGATTAATCAAGTGTTTTGTAGCAGAAATGTAATGGCTGCATAAGCATTCCATATTTTTTTCATGATTGCCCATATAAACAATTAGGTAAATGATTAAATTTCCTTGCTAATTTTATTTATTTATTTGTAAAATTTATTGGCCACCCATCTTACCACAGGGTAACTGGGTGCTTACAATCTTAAAAGGATGGAAATCATACAAAACCTAAAAGACATAAATAAAATACTGTATAGATCCAAATATATTACCCCAGTTAAAAGATGGAAACGGAGAGAGGAGGGAGAGAGAGAAGGAGTAGGATATGGGGGAGGGGGCGAAGATGGATCTGTTGTTAATCTATCAACCACTCACTAGTTTTAGCGAGGTCTAATTAAATAGTAATATTAGCTGACATTATATATTGCTGGATGTTCTCTATTCCTGGATATTTTCCAGTCATATTCATGGACAAGTATAATGGCATGCAGGTGGATATTGGAATGGCAGAGCTCATAGTGAATGTATTAATATGTCCTACAGATTTTTGCAGTAAAATATAGAACTCTTAATTCTGTAGTGAGGAATCGGATCAGATAGCCATGTGAATTCAAATATTTCATGGGTATTGTAAACAAAATCCGATTAAATTGAGGCGGGGTATAATCTAATAAATAAAAAGATAACAGTTAGTTTATAGATATATTTGCTAGTCTCAGAGTTTGAATTTAGAGTTAAATTAATAAATTATAAAATTGTGGATTCTAAATATGTGCTGCAACAGAGAAACTATGAAGACGGAAATAAAACACCTAACAGTAGTTGTATCTTTGGATCTGTGTCTTGATTGATTATGTGTTATGATGAGACTAACTGGAAAGATACATTATGGAAGGAAGAAAAGTTATAGTCCTATGTTAGACGAAAACCAACAGAAGCATAGTAGTCTTGGATCAGACATAACATAAAAAGACATTGTATAATGCCCTTTCTTAACCTGAATGTTTTAGATGTTATGATTTGGAAATATATCCAGAAATAAACCATGCTGTAAAAGTCTGGAATAGAAGAAACTGTAGTAAAACAATTGTTAGAAAAGAAGCAATCCTTATTTATCTGTCATTCTTGCTATTGTTTACTCCACCAGAAGTTTGTAGTCAGGTATTTACTCAGTATGGTCAGTGAAAATTAGTAAAAAGGTAATATTTGATTTCAGAGGATGAATTTGATAGAATATTCCAAAAAGAACTGGTAAGAGAAATTGGCCTGTGGAAGTGTAGCTTTACTAATAGCTACTTTCTTTATTCTAAGATATAATGAATTATTAATTATGATTAATACTAGGATTCAGATCTCAAAGGGGTTTACAGCTTAGGAAATGCTTGCCACAAAACACAAAATTCACAAGGAAAATTATCTATCTTATAAGTGCTTTGAGTTCAGTTGGCTCAGTTTTTCTTTTACGTCTTTAAAAGTGGAATGTATATTGTTATACATAGAAAAAGCATGGTTATTACAGTTGATAGGCAAAGTGACCTTTTTATAACTAAAAAAGTAAATACAGTAAAAGTAAAGACTATATATATAGCAAAGTCAGTGTGACAAGTTAATGTGAAATTTGAGTTCTAGGGAATAAAGTGAATATGTTTTATTACTAGTTCAATCTATTCAAAACGATGTTGGAAATAATTGCATTGATAACATGTTCATATTATCTTGTTTCTTTTATCTAGGATTTTAATCCGATCCTTGATGAAAATGGCAGCCAACAATGCAGTTTTGAATAGACTGGAGCAGAAGGGTGCTGAAGCAGATCAAATTATTGAATACCTTAAGCAGCAAGTTGCGCTTCTGAAAGAAAAAGCTAGTAAGGCATAACATTAAAATAGATCGTTAATTATCCATTTTAAATCAGTGAGTAAAATCTAAACCATTTTTAAAAATTATTTCAGGTAACAGCTTTCCTATAAAAGACTAAAATAACACATAATTTCCCACCTCCCCAAGGGGTATATTTGGCAGTGCTCTTTTAAAGAAACTGAATAGGTACCTGAATTAAAATGGTAATAACAGTAAGAAGGGTGTTTATGGTTTTATAGTCAGTAGAATCATAGAGTTGAAAGGATGATTTATGTTATTCAGTCCCACTCATTCCTATTTAGTGCAGTAAACAGATAGTTGCCTAGCGTCCACTTTACTATATCAAATGGTGAACTTACAGCCTTTCTGTTGAACTGCCTTTGCTGCTATGAATTCTTTTCTAACATTCAATCACAATCTGCTTTCCTGTAGCCTACATCCATTCTTCTATGTCGTGTATTCTGAAACAAGAGAGAAGAGGTCTTGACCTTCTATGTGACACACTTAGTGGTCTTTAAATAATGCTATCATATTATACCTCACTTATTTTTAGCTCAATGCTAAACACACTTAACTTCTTCAATCTGCTGTATAGACTTATAGTACCTTAGGCATCTTTGTTGCCTTTCTCTGTTATTCCAATTTCTGTGCCTGTTGTGGCAGGAATTAGATTAATGCAGAATTAAGTGGAATCATTACATTCTTTGAATCAGAAATTATCTTTCTCTTGGTGCAGCCTTAAATTACATTTGACTTTTTGGCAGCCACATCACATTCCTGGTTCCAAGTTAGCTTGCACCCAACTGCTTTAACAAGGATTTTTTTTTTAAACCAACTACCATCACTAAACCAGATATCCCCAGTAATGATGCATTTGATTTTATGTCCCTAAGAAAAGAACTGCCATCCAATCGACAATTAGAATTAGTTTTCTAATCAGGATACTATTATTTTGTTAACTATATATAAACTATTATATATCTAAGGGAGGCCTAGCGCTCACAGGTTCCTGGTTTCTAGTCCAGCACCTTAATTATTACAGAAAACATCTACAGTATTTGTACAATCTTAAGGAAATTACCTAGTCAAACATGTGATAGGTTTAGTCTATTACTTGTTCTTGACAAATCTATATTAGCTTCCTTAATTATTACATTGTTTTCAATAACCTTATATGATCTATTTTAAAATTGTCCTAGTTATCAGTATAGACTGATTTGTAGTTTGCTGCTTTTCTTTTATTTATGATGGGACAACATTCACTCTCTTCCAATCTGACACTCATCAGTTTCCCAATTTTTTCCTAAGGATTTGGTGAGATGCTCAGTTAGTTCCTTTAGTATCCTAGAATCGTCATCTGATCCTAAAGTGAAACACATTCAGACCAAATAAATATTCTGTAATCATGTATCCATTGATTTCAAACTTCAATCTTGTCTCTTCAGATACTTATTTTTGTTAAACCAACCTGAACTGTTTGAAAAACTTTGCCTTGCCCAGGTTGCTTGTCAACATTTTGCTGTGTTCACTGAGTAGCTGGTATATATTCTTTTTCTTTACTTTTGAATGTATCCAGCTCATTTTCATATTCTTGATATGAATATTCTTCTTCACTAACATTCTTCACTAACCTCAACTTATTCTGAGTTTTTCTGTCACCATTTGTTCACTATTCCTTTGTGACTTGGCCTCGTTTCTGTTTACTTTTTCTTTAACTTGATGGAATGTTGGAAATAAATTATATAAAGGTATTGTCAACAGATAACTCTCTGAATATTGAACATTTAGCTAGGCAAGGGAAGCTGACAAATGGAAGAGCCAACCAGAGACTGCTGAGAAAAATATTTTCTCCTTCCTTCAACCCCCCCCACTGTTTTCCTGTGGGAGAGGCTATTGGGCAGCAGCTTGGAAATATTGCGGTTTTCCACTCTGAGCTGCCTCTCTCCACTCCTGGATATATATAACCTCAGAATGGAGATTAGCAGCTCATTCTGTGCTTCCCAGTATATACACATGCATGCAACACGAGAAAGAACAGAAATACACCCAGAGACAGATACTGAAAATACAAATTTGGTTACACAGAAGAAAATACAGACAACTTTCTATGGCCATTGCTGGAAAAGCATTTGGAAAAAAAAAATCTGCATCCTTTTCCTAACTTTTTTATTTGCAGGCCTCCACTTAGTTTTCTTGTGTATATTTTGAATTTTCTTTATCTGCTGTTCTCCATTTTTTCTTCATTGCAGTTTACGAGTTCCTAAAGAAGGGGATTAGCTTTTTCATCTTCCTCATTAGGATCTCCCATTCATCTGATTTTTTAAAAAAAGTTACATGTCTGACTACTCTGAACTTTTTGTAAAATAAAACCAAAATTGTATGTTCAACAATACATATATTATGATTGCAATAATGGAGAATTTTTTTATTCTATTATTCAGGATTTTAAGCTTTGTATTTAATGCATGTATACTAAAGCTTTGTCCTTTTTATGTTCTAAAGAGATTTTATGGCCTAGAGTCAATAAACAAGGTTTCTACTTACAAATATGAAATGAAACTTTTCAACAGTTTCACATAGTTCTGAGATAATATCTCCAGAATCTGTCATCTTTTTTCCACTCCTGGTTTCTTGATATAGAACATTTAAACAATAAACTGTTTAGCTATGCATTCCATTGGAATAGGCATATAACATGGTTCCAGCTTGTATTCCCACTAGAACCAAAGTTCATTTCTTAGAATATATGCCAAGGAAAAGAGAGAAGAAGTGTGAATTGAATAAAGAGTCCCTTTTGTATATGTTATGGATTTAATTGGAAAACACAGCGTTCAGGGGGTATTACTGCAGGGTTTTAATAACAATACCGGGTGGTAAAATATCTGTTTTAATATTTACAAAAGCTGAAGTGAGTGTTGATATAGGCATTCCATAGGATCTCTCTATAAGACACCTGTTCCTTGTTCCACAATCTTAATGGAAATAACATGGAACTCTTTGATTGCTTGTTGATGCTTTTCCCATTATCATGATTTTTGCTTACGTCTGTTTGTTTTTATATCACTATTTTCAAATCTGATATTTGAGCACCCATAATAGTTTCATAAATGATTCATGGAACTTCTATAATTGTAAATGTATCCAATGTAATTCTGTATTTTAATATAAATGTTTAGTCAAAGTACACAAGGTATAAGTAATTATGAGATTTCTCCAATGTCTTGAAGTTTTCAAAACAAGTTCTGTTATTCATTTATAGCATCTAGCAATGAAACATTTTTGACAATTGAACAGTGATTCTAATGAGAGTTCGGCCTCTTACAGTCTTGCAGGCATCTCTGAGGGAAGAGAAGAAACTGCGTGTTGAAAATGCTAAACTTAAGAAAGAAATTGAAGTGCTAAAACAGGAATTGATCCAAGCAGAAATTCGAAATGGAGGTGAGAAATGTGTTGTTTTATGCAAGCACACCTCATTTATAGTGATGTTTGTATTTTTTCTAGAGTCAGTATTAAAAACATTAAAAGGGGCACTTAAGGGGCAGAATTGCATTTCTTTTGCTTAACGTGATATGAATGAGAAGGAAAAAACAGGAGAAGTGAGGAAAAGGAAAGATACTTGCTACCCCATTGTCTATGCTGCTTTCCCCCAAAATGTTGTAAAAGTGAAGGTTAAGAAATAGCTTTTATTAAAGTATCCCAGGAACAAGATACATGGACAAACTTGAACTATTTGAATGTTTTGTTTGTTTTTAAAGACCAAGTGATACAACTTCACTTACAGAGAAGGATTGAAAATGTTGAAAAGTCTTATGGATTGGGGAGAACGTAGGGTTAATGTGTTTGATTTGTATTTGCAGTTGTCCTAATTTTAAAATTGTTTTGACACCTTAAGCACCTAATTTGTTGACCTTGCTAAGTTATTGCTTTGTTTTTGTTTTTGTTTTAATCCATTGGAAGCCTGAAAGAGGAAGAATTGCAAGTGAAAGGTGGAAATATACAAACCTTCACCCATTCCAAAGAAAGTTAGTCACTGATTAATAAAAGCATTCAATAGTCACAAATAGAGATAGTTTAGATAGCATTAATGAAACATTAATTAAGCATTAATTTCCTCAATAAGATGAAAATTATTTTCATATCCACTATTTATTCTTTTAGTTTGAAAAATATTTAGTTAGATGAGGCTCAGGCTAATTCATTGAGCATGAAAAATATTTAAGTTAGATGAGGCACAGGCTAATTCATTGAGCATTTTATGTTACATAATATTCTGTTCGTGCTTTTGATCAGGTCCAATATTTTTCCTACAATACATTAGATATCTATAAACATCTGCAGTTTATAACTTCTATCCTTTGGTTCTATTTTATATATGGTTATGTCTCAACTGTATTATTAACTCATTGTAATCAATCCAACTAAAAAAATCGGGATTAAAATATCCAGATGAAGATCAGTGACTTCACATTTTAGTTTGTCTTAGTTTTGATTATGATTAATAACAAGTAGCAAATAGGTTTGCTGCAATCTATTTTTCTTTACCATTAATTGTTATGATATAAAAAAAATTCAGAAGGCTTAAAATGTAATGCATATAAATATAAGCATGTGCTTGGAAACATGGAAGAAAACATTTTTCATTTAACAATACTTTTATTCCACTAGATCAGTGGTTCTCAACCTATGGGTCGCGACCCCATTTGGGGTCGATCAACCATTTCACAGGGGTCGCCAAGCAAGGCTGTCCGCCATTTTTTCCCCTTTTCCGGCGGGTGCCTTACCTCCCTTGGGCTGGGCCAGCTGGTGGTCGGCCTGCTCCGTCTGTGCCGCTTGCCAGCTACGCCTCGGCCGGCGCAGGGGGCGGAACCACGCATGCGCGGCGCTCCCGGGCAGGGAAAGTCCTCAACTTACGACCGGTTGGGTAGTCCTTGACTTACGACCGGTTGGGTAGTCTTCGACTTATGACCGGTTTAGTCCTCGACTTACGACCGGTTTAGTCCTCGACTTACGACCGGTTTAGTCCTCGACTTAAGACCGGTTGGGGGGTCGCGGCATTAAAAAGGTTGAGAACCACTGCACTAGATTTCACAAAATACATTTAAATATCAGAATCAAGGTGTTAATTGGGAATATTTTGTGTTTAATTTTAGTGAAACAAATATCTATGCCACCTAGTGACATGGCTGCTGCAGTTTCATTTTCGAAGGATCTCTCTCAAACATCCTCTGCTGCTGAAGCTCTATCTGGTCCTAAGGAACAGATCAAAGGACCCACTGAAGAAAAGAAGAAGAAAGACAAAACAGAAAAGAAAGGTAATTTTAGATTCAATATATTGTATGTTCATAGAAGGCTGCTATAAATTATATAGCTTAGGCAGGCTCATTTTATAACTCAACTCTACATATTAATACCCTTTGCTTTTCTCTCAACTGCTTTCAAGCTTGGAACTATCCTCATTCTGTAAATGGAAATTGGACTATGTTTTGCCAGTTTTAAGATTTTTCATCCTTTTTGTTTACAACTATGCTTTGGAAATTGTAGGGATTACTGGATAAACAGGAACAATGATTTATTTTTGATGCCATGTTTATTGTTAGAATAAATAATACTATGTTTTTACAACTATGCTTTTTGTTATATTTGTTGATATAATTGTAATGTTTTTGGTCTTGATGTCATGAAAGTGTTCTTAATACTTTACATAAGGGAGTTTTTGTAAAGAGAAAAGAAAAAAATAGGTAGTGTTGTGAACTGAATTGCATCAGTGGTTTTATTAATTTGGTTTCCTTCCTTTTTGTAGGAGAAAAGAAAGAAAAAAAGCAGTCAGCTGCAAATGATGATTCAAAGCCTTTAGATGTTTCACGGCTTGATCTTCGTATTGGTTGTATTATGACGGCAAAGAAACACCCAGATGCTGATAGTCTTTATATTGAGGAAGTTGATGTTGGAGAAGCAAATTTAAGAACTGTTGTCAGTGGTCTGGTGAAACATGTTCCTTTAGAAGAGGTATAAATGAAATATCTCTGATGTATTATTTGAAGCTTTAGCAACTTTTTAATTTATTGTTGTTCATCATTTATGTATACTGCTTATAGTGTGTTCCAGTTAAGTGCTTAAATCTCAAAATCGTGAACTTGAGACTTAGTGGTTTACTTAAGGAAGCCATTAAAAAGATATCAAAAGTTTCACTATCCCAAAAAATCTACTAGTTTGAAGATTCAAGTAGTCCTCTGAGATCTATGCAGCATACTCAGAAAGGCTAATATTAGTTCCCTACTCTTATCTTCTAGACATTTGTAGGTGCAGAGATTGGTAAGGCTTGTAGGTAAGATTTTGCATTTCTTCCTTAGTAGCAAAAGTTGTCTTTAGTAGTCCATTTTGTACTTTCAGAAATTTTCCAAAACCCACTTACATTGCTCAATTACAGTTGGAAAAGGTTTGTATTTCTATGCCAACAGTAAAGAAAATTAACAGTGATCTTGGCCTTTATTGTTCACAGAACGTCCATTGTATCTGAATTTATGTTATACAGTCAGAACCCACCTTATAATATGCCAAGCAAATTATTCTTAATATCCATGGATCAAAAGAAAGTATTTTCCATAACATTCTACTGGTATTTGTTTTACTTATTGTTCTAATTTGTCACAAGTTTCTGTTGTGATCATTGTCTAATGTGAAACATGCTTTAATTAATATCAAGCACACCATCATTTTATGATGTACCATGCTTGGCTTTTCTTATATAATGAAGAATCTCCAACAACATAAGTCCAATATGGTCATTTCTGGAATATTGCTTCTTCTTAAAAAGGATGTGATCTAAACTGCTCTACATTTTTATTGGTTAAAATGTTCAAGGAAAAAAGAGACAAAAATAAAAACCTACATATAAAGGAATTTGAGAAAAAGAGTTAAAAAGCAAAATTGGCCAAATAATACATACTGTACATACATACATACATACATACATACATACATACATACATACATACATACACAAACATATTTTTCTCCAGTTTCTCTTTTCCAATATTGTGCCAGATTGATTCTTGCTGCTGTTACCATATATCATAATAAATTAGGTTACATTTTTCACTTAGGTTTTCTTGGATACCTAATAAAAAATTTTGTGTTTTAATTCAAATGTTATTTTCAGAATTTTTTGGATTTTTTGGCATATTTTCTTCCATTACTTTTGATTTTTTTTCATAACCGCTATATAGTAAAAGTTCTTTCTTTGTTATGCCAATTCCAACATTTATTGTTACATGATTTATCCATCCTGACAATTGTTGAAAGACTTACAAACTATCTGTAGAATATTTTGGACAAGCTATTCCTCAAATTGTAGCTTGATGCAAATTTTATTAATTTTTTCCATATGTCTTCTCATTGATCCATTGTTATGATTCTGTTGCATTTTGATCAGAATTTTCATGTATTAAAATTTAATTTTCTTGAACAAACTATTGATTGCATTGTGCCTGGTGGACTCAGTTGCCTTATTTTCTTTGTGCTCTTTTTCCCTAGAGGTTGTCTCAGCAGGTGGCAGTACCTTGCTTGGGCTGGGAATTTGTGTTGGGTCTCCATTTATGAATGGAGATCATCTAGAAATTAAGGACTGTAGGCTATGTTGGAAAATTGAAAACATGTTCTAAAAAAAGTCAGTGGCAAACTGCGTCCATAGCAATTCCAAGAAACCTATATTATTAAATGAAATTACCAGGTGTCGTATCAAAGGAAACTTTACTTTTTTCCCCTTCATATTTGGGTCGGAACAGAAACTTTTAGAGTTTAAATCAGGGGTAAGTAACCTTGGCTCTTTTATGACTCATGGACTTCAACTCCCAGAATTCCTGAGTCAGCTATGCTGACTCAGGAATTCTGGGAGTTGAAGTCCATGAGTCATAAAAGAGCCGAGGTTGCCTGCCCCTGGTTTAAATGAATGTGTTGGAAGGCATATTATGTGCAACCATTTTAATTCAATTTGTCCAAACATTTGTTCTGTCCTGACATTTGGGATTTGTAAATATGCATTCCATATTATATACTGAGTGGTAAATCACATGGACATATTTGTTATATTTTTTTCTAATTAGTTTAAAATTCTTAATTTAACAGTTAAAAATTGACTTTTGATCACAAAGAATGGAAAGCAAATAAAATACTGCTTCAACTATCATCCAGAACATCAGGACACAATGCTAATATTTTTATTGCTTCTTATTGCATCTGTATATTAGAGGGCCATTAAACTTAATTAGATATTTCCTGATTGTGTTGCTGGATTAGTGAAAGAAAAATTTAATTTTTTGCTCCCATGTTCCATGCATTAATATTTTCTTACCACTTCATTTGGTAGAAACCTGAAAAGACCTGTAAATTGCACTTTTTTTTCTTTTCACTTCTATATAGATGCAAAACCGGATGGCTATATTTCTCTGCAACCTAAAACCAGTAAAAATGAGAGGAGTGGTGTCCCAAGGCATGCTGATGTGTGCTAGCACACCAGAAAAGGTGGAAATTATAATTCCTCCTAATAGAGTTGTTCCTGGAGAAAAAATTACATTTGAAGGTTTTTCAGGTAAGCAGAAGTGTCTTGAAGATTGAACAGAAATTGATGAGAATGTTTTTATATGAATTATGAAAAAGTTTGTAATGTAGTTTTAAATGTGTGTATATCTGTGCCTGAAAAAAAACTCTAAACAAAAATGAAAATCAAATTTTAGGAATAAAAACTGTTTTCAATAGGAGGCAGAGAAAGAGAGTACCTGTTGTGTATTATGTTATATGCATGTCTTATAGAAGAATGTTTTAAGGAGTACGTTTTTGCCAGTTATCTGTATCTAAAGTCACACACTAGTTCATATCTTGTATTACGTGAGGTTAGTATTGAATAATATTGTTCCTTTGCTCTTCTCTTTTATCTACTTACTAAAGGTGTATGTTTAACTTTGGTGTTCTGTACTTTCTGCAATCCAATATGTAAATTGTGGATCATATATAAAATCCCTCACTCTTCAAATAAGGAATAGAATACGTTTCTAAGGATGATAAAACTAGTAAAAATGATTTCAGTAGTAAGTGGTTTACCTCAAATAACTTTACTTTTTAAAAATAATTGCTTCTCTATTGGATACAGATATTCATTTACTGACCGTTTGAAGTTACAACAGCAGACAAAAAAGTGACTTATGACTCTTTTTTACTTTTATAACCACTGCAGCATCCCCATGGTCACGTGATCAAAATTTGATTGCTTAGCAACTAGCTCAGATTTATAACGGTTGTAGTGTCTTGAGGGTCATGTGCTCACCTTTTGTGACCTTCTGTCAAGCAAAGTCAATGGGGGAAGCCCGATTCACTTAAGAACAATGTTACTAACTTAACAACTGCAGTGATTCACTTAACAACTCTGGGAAGAAGGTTCGTAAAATGGGTCAAACTCATTTAACAAATGTCTCAGCAAAAAAAAACTTTGAGCTCAGTTGTGGTCCTACGTTGAAGACTACTTGTATAGGCAAACATGGGAAATTTTGATATTATCCTAGATTAAATAAAAATTATTTAATGGAGAATCAACCAAAAAGGAGAATACAGGTGACAGAACCACTTTGGAATTATCAATGAGGTATTGTATGTGTTATTTTTCAGTATGATATGAAATGGAAAGTGGAAAAATAATATATTTCCTCTGATAAGATTAGATTATTGGTTTTTTTTTAAGTTTTAAAATGAGACAAAGTTTGTAACATATTCTGGAATTAACTTTAGGGAAATCAGTATTTTCTTACTCACATAAGTGGAATGGAGAAAAAAACCCTAAAATGCAGGCTTAATATTATAAAATTAGGTTTTCCTATTTTTTTGTGATAAAATATAGAAGTCTGCACATTGTATACTTGATAATTGGTACAATGCCATCAAAACCATTATATAACTTGGCTAATATAAAGGAAGAATGAAAATATACAGCTGGACAAGAGTGTTAATAGAATTTTATTAAGGCATAGTCTCTTGAGGCAGTTCTGCAAGTTTCTTAACAGAAAAGAAGTGGTAGCATTAACTTTGAAATTTAGCTTGAGAGAAAAGTATAGGAGGGCAAGCCATGTTTGGTTATAATTAGTTCGGATTCCATAAAAATGAAAAGTTATATTTTAAGACGGATTTAAAAGTCTGGTGGGGTAGGTAACATCAAAACCTGAACCAATAGATTTTACAGCCACAAAAGTTACTTTTACTATCATGTAGCATATGGAGTAGAGGGGAAAAAAGAGTTGCTTAGAGGTATCATTGTGTCCTTCAAAGCTTATATTCATAATTTTATGATCTGTATATAGTGTTTTCCTCTTTGCTTAAGTAGGAAATGTATATATAAAAATAACATTATGATGATCCACTATGTTATTGTTTCTTTGACTTCAATCTTTTGTATCAAGCACACTATTTTTTCCAGTTTGCAACTAAATTTTCATACTTATATTTATTTAATGTTGGCAATGTCTGTAGGGGAATAATTTCATGCATCTTGTAGAATTGTATGTATCAAGTAAGGTAAGACAGTTTGCTAGTATATAGCTAGAATATTTATTGTCCTAGACAATTAAATCACCATCTCCAAAAGGCATAGCAACAATCCTTAATTAAGTCACTGATAAATCCATTTGAAGGAGGTTTTCCATAGTGTTTTGGGCCTTCCCACATTGTGCAGGACTGCACACCCAAAGAAGTTTGTCATAATCACCATTGAAATTATGCTTGTTCAGATTCTAGAAACTTTCATCACATTTTCAAGAGGTTATAGAACATGTCATAAGACTTGCATATGATTGTTCCTTTTTTCTGCTTTTCTTCAATAAAACATTCTCTTTAAATAAAACATTGCGAGCTGCTGCTGGTTAGTGAGTTTCCTTTTGCAGATGACTATGGTTCTATTGCAATTGGATATGTTTTTATAGTGGTTTTAATGGATTGTTGCTTCCTTTTTGTGTTAGATTTTATTGTCTTTTAAAAGTCCGATTTGTAAGTCCAGTTTTTCATAAACAGATAGGAGGCAGAGAGAAATGCTTTGTCCCTCCCTCCTTTGCCACAAACTTAGCAAACTTGTATTACATACATGATATAGGTTGCCATGACTAATTAATTGTGTCATGAGAGATACAGAATTTGTGAATGGGATTCCTATTTGATGGGAAACCTGAAACAACTATGGATTTTTAATAGTTTCAAATGAAGGATTTATACCTTAACTCTAATAAGTTTGGTCTTTGGAGACTATATATCTTAGCTGTAGAATAAGACAGTGCTCTCTAAAGCACCAAAGAAAAATAAATGCTCACAAGTCTGGTAGCTATGAAATAAAAGCACCAGCATTTTATAACAAACTTCAACATGCTGAAGATTGAAAAATAGCATATTTGGTCATTTCTCCACCTTATTATTTATTATCTCTTGCAATGGTGACAATATTTGCTTAGCAATATAATAAACTTTTATATTTAAATAAAACCTATTGTTGCTGCATTTATATCACTGGAAATACTTTGTTTAGACTTGTCTTTCTAATAAGATGCTGAAGGAAGATTATTCCATATTGGGTGGAAAGTGCTCTTGCTAATGATTCTTTCATTGAAGCAGGCATCCCTCTTGCCTGTTCAGTGCTGATTTGCTTTCAGTGCTTGGTTTAGTCAAGCATGATTATAGATTGATGTTTGTTAATAACAGTATTTTGAATGCTACATTTTAAAAAAATATCATTTATATTCCCAAGAATTTTCTTCAATTTTTCTTATAGATGTCTTTCAAGAGGCTTGTTTTCTCTTGAAAGAAAAGGATGAGAAGGGAGGGTTTTATGGAGCATACACCATGGTGTTCTGGTAATGTTTAAAAGTGGTGCCTGTGCTAATCTAATACAAGCTTGCCACAGATCCCAGGAGAGTTTGCTTGGGTATTCCAAAGCAAGTTTTAATGGAATCCAGAAGGTTGTTCTGTAATAAAAGCCAGATTTTAATTTATTCTTGAAAACTAAATACGGTTTTGTAAAGTTTGCATTTTAAAGACTTGCCTGCTCTTTTGGTTTGATATATATTTTCTTTTGCATAGAGAGGCTTTTATTTTATTTGAAAGATTTTACCGTGAGGAGATGTCATTTTAATTGCCATTTAGTTACTTATTTTTTCTCTCTAAAAGATAAACTGCTGGTCTGAGAAAGTACTAATTATTTATGACTTATGCACTGAAACTTCTCTTTTGTCCCCAGGCCACAAAGAAACCTGAAAAGTTGATTTCAAGCCACTAGATAGTATAGTAGAAACCATTTTAATCCAAAGTTCATAGCCATATGGCTATTTCTGTGACCAGCTTCTTTTCTGACCTTTAAAACATGCCATTTTTAAAAATTTCTAATGAAACATCAGAGTAGATCAGTATAAAGATTCACTAATATCTAATATATAACCAAGATAAAATTGGTAGGGTTCCAGAAGAATATTAGGCTTGTTTTTTTTAAAAACAAACAAACAATATATCTCCCATATTGCAGCATATTTGTTCCTGCCTTCTAAATAGTTTCAGTAACTATTATTCTTAAATGAAATAATGGCTATAAATATCTTAGTACTTGCTAGCAAGTACTGATAAGAAGAATGTATTAATATTCATGTGTAGATATTTGTTTGGTCAAATATAGAAACAGAATGATAGGCCAGGTAAATCTTTGAGCTAGTTTTCCTTTGATATCCACCTGTTCTTGCAAACAGGAAGAGGAAGTACTATCATGATTCCTCTGTCTGTTAACCTATATATCATCTAGTACCTGACAGATGAGAGAATTGTCTCTTGTTCTAATGGGCTATGAATAAAATTCAAATGTGTAGAATGTTTGGATTTAGTTCCAATAACAAAGCTTTCAGATGGTAGATGAATTCCTTATTTTAGAAGTTATGCTCATAGTAAGTTCACTAATTGCTGTGTGAGTCCTGTACTAAGGAAATAAGGAATAAAGCATTACTGCTACTCTGCATGGTTTCTCACATTCCTGATGGGAAGCAGAACACCTAGCTCATTTAAATGGTTTTCATAATCCTACTCTTGGGCATTGTATTATTCTACTGCTGTAACCTCAGGATCATTTGCAACATAAAATTGCATAACTGTTACTAGCCCATAACTTTAGGTTACATAGGGAAGGCTGTATTATTTTATTCTTAATCATGTTGAACATACTTGAGTGATTTTTTAAAAGATGAGATAAAACAAACCCAAAACAACGTATCTCATATTGTAGATACTGTTTGAATATGATTTTAAATTAGTTTGCCAGACCTAAGTGGGTTGATTATTAATTTTTACAGATACCATTCATTGCTGCTGGCTAGAATTTGACATCAGCTTTAAACCATTATATATTGGCTAGAAGCCAAATCAGTTTTAACTGTGGTTAATCTTTCTGCAGGTATTTGTAATAATTAGTCATAAACAGGAATGATGAGGAGACAAAGTTCACAATGTTTTGTCTTTTCTTCAACTCATATTATTAATTTAAGTCCAACCTTTCTAAGGTTTTATAAGAAATTGTGATGGATGGATGAATAAACAAACAAATATCTTTTCTGAACTTTGTCCACTGCATAATCCTACTGGGCTGTGGCGTATTCACAAGTGGGCCACACAAGTGGCAGGTCAGCATGCACGCAGCTCAACTTGTGCAAGTCAAGCTGTGTGCCCATGTGCCTGCGCGCCAGCTCACCACTTGTGCAAGTTGAGCTGTGTGCTCCTCCCTGCCTGGCCTCCAAGCCACAAAGGTTGGGGACTGCTGATGTAAATAACTTCCATTACGTTATGAAAGAATATGATAATTCAAATTCCTAGTTTCACTTTCTTATCTTCCCTTTTTCTTTTTTAAAAAGGTGAACCTGAGAAAGAACTTAATCCCAAGAAGAAAATATGGGAGCAGATCCAACCTGATCTTCAGACCAATGAGCAGTGTATTGCTACATACAAAGGAGTGCCGTTTGAAGTGAAAGGGAAAGGTGTGTGCAGGGCTCCTTCCATGGCCAACAGTGGAATCAAATAAATGAAAGCAAATTTGGAAATGTTTGAGATAATTTTGAAGGGAAAAACATGAACATAATAAATATTGCCTCGCTGAAAACCATGTCTCATTCAATTTATTACAACCTTACAGATGACCTTGGCTGATCTTAAAATTTTTAATGATATTCGACCTGGTTAGTATTTGAATACAGGACACAGGGATTACCAAAGATAGACACTAGATACTGTAAGGAAGTTGAAGAGAGTTCCTGAAAGAAGGGAATGACAAACAACTTCTGTACTGTGGTGAGAAAACTGAGCAAATCCATGAGTTATGGGAGTCAGGCTTGAGGAAAACATATACCAAAAATACAAACTTTCATTCCTGTATAAAACTGAAAAAAAAATCATTAATTAGGGCCACAGATAAGTGGTAGAGAATGCATGCATGCCCATACCCATCAGTTCATTTTGTGGTATCTATAAGCAGGGTTGGAAACTAGTTTGGAATTAGGATCCTTCCCTCCCAAACTCAAATGTTGCTAATGCATGAAAATTAAGTAGTAGTCAGGCTGTAGTGAAATTTATTACAGTAATACAGTGGTTCTCAACCTTTTTAATGCCGCGACCCCAACCGGTCGTAAGTCGAGGACTAAACCGGTCGTAGGTCGAGGACTAAACCGGTCGTAAGTCGAGGACTACCCAACGGTCGTAAGTCGAGGACTTTCCCTGCCCGGGAGCGCCGCACATGCGTGGTTCCGCCCCCTGCGCCGGCCGAGGCGTAGCTGGCAAGCGGCAGAGACGGAGCAGGCCGACCACCAGCTGGCCCAGCTCAAGGGAGGTAAGGCACCCGCCGGAAAAGGGGAAAAAATGGTGGACAACCTTGCTTGGCGACCCCCGTGAAATGGTCAATCGACCCCAAATGGGGTCGCGACCCATAGGTTGAGAACCGCTGCAGTAATATATTAATACCCTAGTTCAAATGATTGTAACAATACATAGCCCAGAAAAATGGTCCAGAGAAAAAACAGAAACTGTAAATAATAGATGCATTTCATGGTTGGGTGCCCTATGAAAACAATTATAGAGAAATAGAATATGTTGTCTATCATTAAAATCCATTTAAACCACTGAAAGGGAAATGTACTAAAAAGTTCTGAACATTAAAATTAAAAACCACTTTAATAGCAGCTCTGTAAGATAGCACTTTAGCTCCATATGCATGTAAAGAATGTTTCATTTTTGGTGCCTTCTTAAAAACTAACAAATAGGAACACTATTCAGTCAGCTAAAGGTTGGTTATTCTGCCCACAAACTTTATTTCCACTCTCAGTCCTTACCTATTGAGCAGGAGGGCTCCTTCCATACTGAAGACACAAGGCAAGTAGATACTGTTTGTGAAAACGAACTCAACTTGGTCTCAATAGAGGGTTTGTAGAAGAAAACCAGAACTTTGAATTGTGTTCATAACATGCCTTATGAAGATTCAGAGTAGGAACTGACATTGAATCAGATGCTTACTGTGACTCAGTGACTCTACTTTTTAGGTATTCAAATTTCAGTCTATTTCATCTTTTCTTGTCCCTCATAGTTTCCACATTCTGACTGAATGTCCAATGTGTTTTCTGCTTGGCTTCCAATGGTTATACATAGTTGGGTATAATGACAATACCTCTTCATAAACCAAGGATTATCTCTGCCGCCAGTTTCATACATATATGAAAATAGCATGGTTCAACTAGCATAGTTGAATCTTGTGCCAGCCCACGTTTGATGGCGCATCTCACAGTGTTGCTGCATGGAACCACAACCCTCAAAGGAAGTCTAGGATACAGTGTTACTGAATGCAGCTGACAGATCTGATATGACCAGAAGAACTACTATTTAGTCCAACCAAAGTTATCCACCAAGGTGAACAATTCAGTTTCAGTCCCACACCAGGATTGAAATTAGATTAAAAGGTATCAAAGTAATGCATTTCATTCCAAGGCTCTCTGCAACTAACCTCCCACATTCTATAAAATTTTCATTTAAAAGTAGAGATTGGAATCTGAACAGAAGTTGTACAATGTGGTTGGATCAAGAGATACAGTATTTTCAAGTGAGGTGCACTAATGCCTTCAAAATAGAAGGAAACATTCCTTAAAATTTCTAAAACGGCTGTAAGTTACAATTTATTTTCTCATGGATTCCCAAGCTCCTTACTGGATTCTATCTGAGTTACGTAAAAGGCAGATATTGATTCCATCATATTTGCCAAATAAGCTATACAGGCTTGAAGTGAAATACCCTCTCTACTGTTCCCAAAAACATTCTTGTAGTAGTACTAAATAAATAAACAAGGCAAATTTCATTAATCAGCTTCAGCACAAACTGGTAGTTCAGAAATAAAGGAGATCAAGGTGTATATTTTATATCTAGTGTGATGTTATCAATGCATCAGTATTAGGTAATATTAAAATATTTTTAATGTATTGAAAATATATTATTTTCTGGAAATATAGGCCTAGTACACAAAGTATAGGTATTTTAAAACCACCTTGAGAGTTGAATATATGAAATTTATACTTGATCCTGGATATACTTGGTGAAAATAAGTAGTTTTCAATAGTATACTGCAATCTGATACTGTGGAAATTGAATCTGAAAAAATGACTATGTATCCCAAAACGCTGAAGAGTTCCAAATATGTTTGTTTCTAATCTCCTTTTCTTCTTAAAAACTTTGGTGAATTCGGTGATTGTTGTTGAGTAGATGGCATATTAACATCATTATGCATGATTGTGAATTATTTTATGCAGCATTTAAAATTTAAAAGTTTAATAACAGATAGCTAAATTGATACCTTTTCTTACTGCTAAAATGTAATCATGATAAGATTGAACAACAGAACTGGAAAAAAAAAGCTGATAGCAGGAACCAAACTTTCCTTCAGTTTTGGCACTGTATACCTGCCATAATTTAATAATCAAAATATTAAATACTATCTCTTTAGCTAACTGTATTAACTCTTAAAGATAGTTTCAGTTTTGTTTTTCATTCTAGTTATATTCAGTAATAGAAATGTAAAATGTCTGCCTAAAGAATTTTAAAAATACTCCAAAAGTAAAGGTTTTTCTATCCAGTCATGTCCAATTCTAGGGCGAGTGCTTATCTCCATTTCTTGGCAGAGAAAGCCAGCATTGTCCGAAGATATTTCCGTGGTCATGTGGCCACCATGGCTATATGCCAAAGGTACACGGAACACTGTTACCTTCCCACTGAAATGGTATCTATTAATCTACTCACATGCTTTTGAACTGCTAGATGAGCAGGAACTGCATCAGGAACCGGGAGCTCACTCCATTGTGCGGCGCTTGGATCTCAAACCCTGGAGGTCAGCCTTCCAGCTGACAAGCTCAGCATCTTTAACTGTTGAGCCATCATGCCCCCAAAAGAGTGAATTATAAAAGCAGCAAAGAATTCAGAATTTGGAAATTATAAGTTATTTAAATGTATAGCATTGTTTATTTCACATGAAGGGTCTGGAAATTGTTTTGTTTTAGAAACTCCATAATTTTTCTTAAAGCTTTTAGGTTTTCATGTTTTAGAAATCTGGCATGATTGTCAATAAAAATGCATTTTTGCTGAACTAATTGCATTACTTTATGTAGTGTGTCTGAGGCACTATGCAAATATTTGTCTATAGTAAATGATGAGTTTTCAATCTGGTCTGCATGAGTAAATAAAATGACTGTGTAAGTCTTCCAATTAGGCCCAAGGAGTTCCTGTAAAGGTAAAAAAAATGGGACATTGGTTTAATTAATAATTAACAATTATTTTACACACATGATTTTATCTTTTTCAGGATATAAGCCAACCATTGGCTTTGATATGCAATGGAATTTTCCTACCTCCTGTCTCTTATGGTTGAAAAATCCCAATCTTTTTAAAGGGGCTTTTGGGAGGTATCATAGCTGATAGGTATAAATGACAATCCAATTACCGTATGTGTAATTCTATCTAAACCTTTTCATGAAAAATCAGATTCAACTCAGGATCACTTAACAATTGCCTAAACAAGACATATATGTTGGACAAGCCATATATATTACTCTGAACTTTACAGAAAAGAACATGCCGTCCTGTGGTCAAATTGAAGATCATAGTAAGTGTATTAATATACCTTTCACATTTCTATCAGGCCATATTCTATGTTAGAATTTAGTCCTTAGAATCCAGTTGTAATCTGCTTGCCTTTATTAAAATCTGTATTAAAATCTGTACCCCAACACTATCACCACATATAGGTAAGAACTGGATTTGGATGAATTCACACACACATATCTCATTTTTTAAAATTCATAACATTTTACTTTAATTCCCAGTCCAATATTTTAATGTGCAATTTCTATTGTAGTTTGATGTTACGTTATCTGAGCATTAAACCCTGGTGATGGGGCAATATATATATATAGCACTGTTATTTATCATGGACATTACCTCAATCAGTTGTATGGTGGAAGTTTCCTCTTCTTCACATAAAACAACATCAGCTCTCAGAATCAAAAGTGCCAAGTGCAGACCTTCCTCTCCAAAGTGCTGGGCTAGACCATCTTTTATGTCTTTCTGGATCTGCTCTTTGCTCAGGCTGCTGTGAGGATATCCAGGAGTGTCCAGGACACGGACTTGCACAGTTAGTGCTCTTCCTTGCTGACGGCCAAAACCTGAAATGTTACAGCTGCGACCTAGGTGGCAGGTTGTAGTCACGGAGCATGGGGAAAGAAAACTTGCAAAGTCTGTGCTTCCCAGAAGAGTGTTTCCTGCTGCACTTTTCCCACTTTGTGTTCTTCCAAGCAGGAGGAGATTGATGCTCATCTTGCTATCGTCAGACATTGTATTTCCCGCTTGAAATTCCTATGAGATGAAAAGTGAATAGTAACATTATTTAATAAAAGTAGTGGCACTATGCAGACATTGCTACCATATATCGGAGCTAAGCTTAATTGGTTATGGTAGGGGTAGGTAACCTTGGCTCTTTTATGACTCGTGGACTTCAACTCCCAGAATTCCTGAGCCAGCTGGCTCAGGAATTCTGGGAGTTGAAGTCCACGAGTCATAAAAGAGCCAAGGTTGCCTACCCCTGGGTTAAGGAGACAACTTGAAGAAGGAAACTATTGAATTGCCATTCCTAGGAATTAAAACAGTAGCACTGGATGTTGTCCCACAATCTTTGAGCAGATGTGTGGACCTCTTTGTTCAACATTACATTAGTTTTTTGATATTTAAATGTTTGCCCATAAATTTTTTTCCCCTAGTTTTTTTTATTAATTTTACAATATTACATTTACATATTTGAAAAGTAGCATGGCGGCTGAGCACAGTAATTCCATTACGTTTGAATATCATCAGTACAAATCTCAAAGTATTACAACAACTAATTCCCTCTCTTTCCCCCATAATATCTACTGTCATATTCGAACCAATACAGTTCTTATTCTATCAATCAAACAAAAAGTACCTTTCTAATATTCATCAATAATCTTCAGTCTATACATATCTTAATTAATTTGACATTCCACCTTTTAGACAATAA